TTCATTATTTTCAGACTCATGTTGGTCATCCACCTCATTAACGATGGGGGAACTTTCTACTTCAGTGTGAGGGGTTCGTGGCATATCAGAATTATCAAGCAAAGAACTAGCACGAAATAACATGGACTCCACCTCACTGGGAGACTTACTAGATAGACTCAGGCTCGGGATTGGGAACAGGTTGGACCAAACAGGGGAAGTCAAACTCATTGAAAACTACATTCCTACTAATAATGACCTTAAAACCAATTTGGTTTATATCCCATATCCTATATCCTTTTGCTCCTTCAGGATAACCTAGGAAGACAAACTTTTTAGACCTAGGTTCACGCTAATGGTCTGATTCTCGTCTATATGTAATATAACATTTTTCATATATGATGTATCCAAAGTAAACAAACAAAAGAGAGAGTTGTAACAAGATATTATAAACGAGAGCAGTGGCGGATCCAGGAAAAGAATCTATTGGGGGCGGAAAAATAAGTAAAGTACATCCAAAAAAAGTGTAACAAAGTATATTTGGTAGCAAAAAATGTAATCAAGCACATGATAAATGTCCCCACTTTTTTAAGGTATATTACACTATCACAAGCCTTGATAAAGTAGTTCATGACTGCTCAGTGCGAGTTTTCATCCCTTTGATTAGGATGATAATCATAAATTTGTCTTCTTTTCACGGGATCACAATATTCTCCAAATACTTCTTTATAATATATGACACAAGGCATTGAAGAAGCACATTCAGAAGTACTACTAATATATGATACAATTGTATTTGAGAAAATTATAATATTGGTTACACAGTATAACATAATGCAGTTATTTATAGGGAAAATGGAAACTAATAATCCAAGCTTTTAGCGATCTTCTTACAATAGTCCCACCTTTTCGTTATTCATGAATAATCCAACATTTGCACCCCATCTTCATTCACTGGTCCCTGACCCGTTGATAACCTGCTATTCCAAGTTATTTTCTTATCTTTGCAAACCATTATATCATAAATCTCACCTTTCACAAAGATAATACTCCGTATTTTGTAAAGATAAGAAAATAACTTGGAATAGCAGGTCATTAACGGGTCAGGGACCAGCTAATAAAGATGGGGTGCAAAGGTTGGATTATTCTTGAATAACGAAAAGGTGAGGCTATTGTAAGAAGACTGCTAAAAGGTTGGATTATTAGTTTCCATTTTCCCTTATTTATATATGTTGCACAGAAATGAGAAAATTATGAAGAAACGGGAAACTAGAAACATCATCTTTTACTCAAAAAATAATTGTTTGGAGAGTTTTCAAAGAGTTCGTATAATTTCATAACCGAAAACATACTCTTTTTCAAGAGTTTCGGTGCTACATGTAGTCATAAAAAATGAAACAAGATCCTAATTAACAAACTTATTAATTGTACTGCTAGCTTCTCTACTACTTTGTGTTTAATTTGTTTCACATTTTTAAGTCCTCAGTAGATTTTTTTATCAAAAGCCGCAAAAGGCTTAATCTGAAAGTAGTCGGAGTGGGACTAAGGGGCGGCAGAATCAACCAAGTATGGAACCACATACTGCTGCATTTCAGGAATGGTTATTTCCAAGTGATTTCCAGGCACCTTGATGAACTTCACTTTTCCTCCTTCATCTAATGTTCTCAACCCGAATAAATCCTCTTTGTAAGCATTTGTCTGTTCAACCGATCGAAAACAGGGGTAAGAAAACAAATATACAACTCGATCAATACCAATAATGATCAATCTCAGTTAAGGTGATCAGTGTTATGCAGAATCTTAGTGCATGCAGCAATTAGATGGAACGTGCATATATATAAGGGGAAAAACAAATGTGGTTCTGATCTTGAACTGTCTCTCTTACACCACTTTTTGATACTCCTCCTTAGCTTCCTCCCAAAAAGATTTGTTAAATGACTTGATTGATGATAGTTAACTTTGACCAATAATATTTTTTAATATGAAATTATTTTGAATATGAAATCATATCAAAATGTTCCTTACTAAAAATATTGTCATATAATTAAGTACAAAATGTCTAAATTATATACAAAAATAACAACTAAAATCATTGTCCAAAATAATAAATGAATGTATAAGACTCAACACTATTATTCCTAATACTTCGTATAAAAGAATTACCTTTGAGAATGAAAGTACGATTCTTGATTTGGGGATACACTATTTATTTCGCCCATTTATTGACCTTAGTTTAATTTGTTTGGCTCGGTGTGGGATGAAGCGTGTGTTTAAATATTTGTGTTGATTGTAGTTGAACCACCAATGGATAAAATATCAAGTCAATATATAAAGATCTTGGCCCACTTCTAGTTTGCAAAACTTATTTCGGGTTAGAGTTTAGGATTTATGCAAAATTTAGGGTTTTGTGACTAAATTTAGTACTCCATCCGTCCTATATCAAATTTCTCTCTGAGGTTTGTGATGGTTGACTGATGATAATTAAAGCAAACTCCTTTCATAGGAAATATATATATATATATATATATATATATATATATATATATATATATATATATATATATATATATATATATATATATATATATATATATATTATGCCTAATTATTAATGGGGTATCCTGAATATAGAATTTAAAGGATATTTAAGGATAGATAGAGTATTATAGTCTATTGGTTTAAATAGAAATTATTAATTTTGCCTTTTTCCCATAATTAAATTATTTGAAACCATTAAGAATCTGAACATAAGTGGCCTAATTTTGAAAAGAATATACGTAGTGCTGTTTTATAGCTTAGAAAATGCATAGAAATCCACAATTAATTAAGAGAACCCTTAAAATCTAAATTGAGGATCCCTGGAGTTCAACAAAATTTAATTCCTTATCAATCACATCCCCTTGAAACTACACTACATTATACTACAAGTTCTACTAATTAATAGATTCATATAGAATACTTACAAAAGTTAAACCATTTCTAATAAAATTAAGAGAAAATTGGGTGTGTATACACCTTTTAGTATCTACATTGAATTGAAGTTAATGTTATGCATTTACAAAAAATGCACCATTTACTGTACTTCGCTGATATTTTGTTCCACTCATAACAATTTTCATATGCATATCAATTATCTTTCCATATATGAGCAAACTCTATATAAATGAGCTAATTTTCTTTATTAAATATAAATAGTAGCTATCAACTTGATGGCCCCAATTTCTTTGGTTATATAGCTGTGTGCACGTGTCACCATAAAATAACATATTAAAATAGAGTTAAGTTGAGCATATGAATAAGACAAAAGTATTTCCAGTATTACTAAAGACGTGTTTTTGTCTATATGTGAGTACATATGATTTTTTCCTAAAATGATGGATAATACCATGTACGTAGTATTACTCTTGAAAGTTACTATAATTAATGAACCATGTCCCATGTCTTAGATGATATTTGTAGTCATTTGCACATCCAAAAGCATAGATGGTCATATATTTTGAAAACACAAATGTTTTAGTAATATTTAGGTATTTTTTCGTAAAAATAATTTAATACTATGTAGTAAATGAGAACCTGAAATAACGATGAGGGAGTAATTATTTAACAGTACAATTAAATTTCATGCTAGGTATGCATGAGTGCATGGCAGCACTTATACATTCAGAATTTGTTCGCAACAGGGGCGTAGCCAGGACACTGGGCTAGACTGGGCCGGTACAAAGAATATTATTGGGAAAAAAATTACACGAAATTTTTTATACTAAAAATATTGACATTTTTCAAATTTGGGGTGGGGCAGGGCCTAGCCTGGGCACCCCCTAGCTCCGCCCCTGGTTCGCAATTTGGATATGTACAAGAAAGAGTGTGTATGTATAGTGGCGGAGTTAGAAAAAGGACTCGGGGTTGAAATTTAACTATATACAACATCAAAAGGGTGAATCATTTTTAAAAAATACCTGAGTTACGTTAAATGTTTCATACTACCTCCGTCCCTTTTTATTTAGGCATCTTTGACTTTTCCAGTTAAAAATGGTCAACTTTGATCCATTTTTTTAAATAATATATTTACGTGAAATTTAATAAATTTATACTTATATGATAGAATAAGAATATTTTCATATTATCAATAATACTGTGTATAAATATAGAATCGGTCAAAGTTTAACATCATTGACTTGAAAAGTCAAATATGGCCAAAAAAGAGACGGAGGGAGTATGTAATTTAGTTAAAGTTGTTTAAACGAGACTAATACAGTTGTAGATTTGATATATGTCATACGAAGTACTCCGTATATATTATAAACTTCACGTAAGTAATGAATGAATTAGACGCTCTTTTAAAATTTGGGAGTATAATCAATATTACGCATCAAATATTACTCGATCATTTCAAGTTTAAATAGTGTCGATTTTACGTGTTGTAATTTTTTACTCTTAATGAGTTACAAGAGTCACAAGATATCAAAATAATATTTAGTGCTCTACATTCTCAAACTTTTAGGGGGTCAATTGATCATCATTACCCCTTGAATTGGCTCCACCCCTGCGTATGTAGAAGCATGCATATATAGATCTATCTATAATATATACGAAGTATGTGGTATGTATTACCTGTTGTGGAGGCAAGACGTTGGAGAGGTCTCCGTCAGGATAGTATCCGAACCATGAACTTAGAGTTGGGTTGACAATATCATCGGTTTCGAACTAGAAAAGGTGAAACAAAAGTTCAATTATCCCAAGCTATATATATATATAGTAATACAAAAAAGCTAGAAAGAAAATAAATATAGTCGTATTTGCTTGACAAACCATTATGAGAACCAGATTTTGTAGGCTAATGAATCTCTGCTTGTGAAGAGTATTATTCGCTCCCGGAATTTCGTTATTGATCATTGGTAAAAACCTGCAACCTTTCAAATATCCAGGAATATCCTAGCAAATAGTACGTAAAGCTATGGTAGGTAAAGCCATGAATCTGTCACTATTAGTAACGTATAAAACCTAGCTAGCTGCGGTTCAACTATGGAAATATAATTCACAAATAATGGCCTCACCTCATAGGGTGTCCACATGTGTATATTTATAATAAGCAATAGAAAGGGGAAATTACAAATATGTCATCTATTATATATTATTACACCCCCTCAATCTGTGCAGGGGAAACAACGCGCAGATTGGCACGTAAAAATTCAAACCGCTGACTAGATAAGCTTTTTGTAAAAATATCTGCCAACTGCAACTGTGTAGGAACATATTTGACCACAAGATCTCCATGAGCAACACGTTCTCTGACAAAATGGTAGTCAATCTTGATATGCTTACTACGATCATGTTGTATAGGGTTAATGGCAAGATAAGAAGCCGAGACATTATCACACCGGAGTTGCACAGGGGCCGAAATGGTAATGCCCATATCTGTCAACAAGGATCGAATGAAGAGAGTATCCTGAACCGTATACGCTATAGCACGGTATTCAGCTTCAGTGGATGACTTTGACACGGTAGGTTGTTTCTTGGACCTCCAAGAAATTAAATTACTACCCAAAAAGACGGCATAACCTGTGGTAGAGCGGCTACTATCCGGACAACCAGCCCAATCCGCATCAGAATAAGCAACAATGAGAGAGATATCAGGATTGGACTGAAGCCATAGGCCATGATCTACTGAGCCCTGCAAATATCTGTAAATACGCTTCACAGCCAAAAGGTGAGTAGTACGAGGAGCATGCATGAACTGAGAGACCAAATGCACAGCATAAGTAATATCAGGTCTAGTCAAAATCAAATACTGTAATGCACCTACCATACTACGATACTCAGTAGCATCGGTGAGAAGTTCACCATCAGTCAGAGAAAGGGTGGTTCGTGACGGTAAAGGAGTACGAACGGGTTTCACTGTGTGAAGATGAAATCGTCGTAATAAGTCGGAGATATATTTTTGCTGAGAAATAAATAATCCCTTAGGTGTACGACGAGTCTGAAGACCCAAGAAAAAATGTATATCGCCTAAATCTTTCATGGCAAACTGTGTGGATAAGGACTGAATAATGTGACGAACAAATGATATAGAAGAACCAGTAATTAAAATATCGTCCACATACAAAAGAACGTATACTACCTCAGAACCACGACGAAACACAAACATGGATGAATCAGATTTACTCTGAGAAAAACCATGTGTGAGAAGAAACCCACTGAATCGATGGAACCAGGCACGAGGAGCCTGTTTGAGCCCATATAACGCCTTTTTGAGGCGACAAACATGATTAGGGAAAGAAGGATGGATAAAACCTTGAGGTTGACGCATATACACTTCCTCTGTGAGATGTCCATGAAGAAATGCATTTTTGACATCAAGCTGGCGAATACACCAACCAAGAGAAACAGCAATGGACAGAACAAGACGAACAGTGGTAGGTTTAACAACGGGACTAAAGGTTTCAGTGAAATCTATACCTGCCTGTTGCTTGAACCCTTGAGCAACCAAACGCGCTTTGTGGCGCTCAACAGAACCATCAGAATTATATTTAGTCTTGTAAACCCACTTACAACCAACTACATTTTTAGTGCAGTCATAAGGTACTAATTCCCAAGTCTGATTTGCTAGTAACGCATTAAATTCATCAGCCATGGCATCCCGCCATACAGAAAATTTTTGTGCCTGAGAATAACATGTCGGATCATCCGGTGGTGCAAGAACACTTAAATTAAAAATGGTCTTAGGTTTAAAAATCCCATCTTTAGAGCGGGTCTGCATGGGGTGAATATTAGCAACCGGGCTAGGTGACGGGCTGATGGATGAACTGTTGGAAGGCGGACTGTCCACCGAGGACAAACTGCCATTTGATGAACTGCCAGGCGAGGTGGGGGATGCTGGTGGAGTATTGTGTGGGGTTTGTGGTGGAGTATTATTATGGTATGCGGGTGGAGTATTGTGTGGGGTTTGTGGTGTAGTATTATTATGGAAAGAGGGAGCATACGTAGTGGGTAATACGGGTGACATGATGCATGGTTGTGATGGATTGTCTGAGGTAGGAGCTGTGGGATTAGCTGGAGAAATGGTGGGAACCGGTGGTGAGGATAATTGAGGGGACCGTATACATGTGATTGGCCAGGAGGTTGATAGAGGAGACATGGTAGGTGGACAACGGACCAGGTGAGGATATGGGAAATTGTGTTCATGGAACTGGACATCTCGGCTAATATAAACTCTACCAGTTAAAGGATCTAAGCAACGATACCCTTTATAGCCCGGAGCATACCCAATAAACACACAACAAATGGAGCGCGGTGAGAGCTTATTTGAAGACTTGGCAATGAAATTTGGAAAACAAGCACACCCGAAAACACGTAAAAAATTAAAATCAGGAACTTTATTAAAAATCATCTCAAAGGGAGTTAAATTTTTCAAAAGTGGTGTAGGAAGGCGATTGACAATATAAGTAGCTGTGTAAAGAGCATCAACCCAAAAACTAGGAGGAAGCGAAGATTCAATTAACATTGTCCTAGTTAATTCAAGTAAATGACGATGTTTTCGTTCTGCTACGCCGTTCTGAGCGGGAGTATCAGGACATGATTTTCTGAATAAAATACCTGTTTTTAAAAAATGAGTGTGAAACATAATATTGTCAAATTCACCACCACCATCACTTTGAAAAAATTTAATTTTTCTACTCAAGAGATTTTCAACAAGAGTTTGAAAATTACAAAAATGATGAAAAACTTCTGATTTGCGGCGCATAGGATATATCCAAGTATAACGTGAAAAATCGTCAATAAAAGAGACATAATATTGAAACCCAAGATTGGATAAAACAGGCGACTGCCAAACATCTGAATGAATAAGCTCCAAAGGAGCAGCACACGAATGAATAACATCCTGAAAAGGTAGTCTGTGGGATTTACCCAACTTACAAGAAACACAATCATGATGAAAATTACTAGAAGCAGAAATAAAATGTTTTTGCCGAAGTGTAGTTAAAACTCTATCACCACAATGCCCCAAACGTTTGTGCCATGTTGGTCCAGGAAGTAGAGTAGTCTGAAGAGCATGAAAAGGGTAAAGATGGTCTTTATTGGAAGCTTGAAGAAGATGCACCCCCGTCTGATTGTCCTTAATAAAAAAAGAATTTTTATTAAAAATCACCGTACAATCATTATCCGCACATAATTTATGAATAGATAATAAATTATATTTAAGATGTGGGACATGATAAACGGAGTTTAATGTAAGGGGACGGCCAGATGTATTAATTTTAACGTTACCAACATGAGAGATAGGTAATTTAGTACCGTTAGCAACTTGCACATTATTAGAGCCAGTATAAGGAGATTTACAAGATAAAATACCTTCGTGTGGGGTCATGTGAGCAGAGGCACCTGAGTCAGGATACCACACAGAGGCATTTGTCTCACCCGAGGGAATAGCAGCTAGAGCAGGCGTAGAGGACCCAGTGAACCGAGGACATGTAAGGGCAGAATGACCTGGTGAAAAACAAATTTGGCAAACAACTGGATGTGGTGGATTGGAAAAATGATTGTCCAGTGATGGAAAACCTGCACAATTACTATGAGTACCGCAAGAAGATAAATGATTAAAGTATGAATAACCAGACCAAAAATTACTCATAAGTGCACCTGAGTGTGCAGCCTGAACTGGTCCACGTGGAGGTCCATAAGACTGCTGGCTGTATGTAACCTGCTGGCCGTGAGCAGCTTGCACCTGGGGCGGAAAAGCTGGGCCATAGTGATGCTGAAAATTACCAAATTGATGCTGAAATTGACCACGACCCCTCCCTCTCTGGCCGCGACCCCGGCCAGCTCGTTGGCCGCGGTATCCTTGCTGTCGGCCTCCTCCCTGTCCGCGAGTTCCACCACGATCCGCAGGTCCATTACGTGCAACAAACGCTTGATGAGTTGGGGGAAGTTCCTGGGAGCGGAGATAAATAACTCGTTGTTCGTGTGCTAGCAAGATCGGACGTAAATTCTCAAGCGTGGCACCACCGGGAAAGTAAGAAACAGCCGTGATCAAGGATTCATATTCGGGACCAAGGCCCGAAATAGTATACTCAATCAAATCTTTATTAGTAACAGGAGAATTAATCAAATTTAAGTTATCTGCCATAACCTTAATCTCCAACAAATATTGTTCCATAGTTTGATTTTCTTTCTTTTTAACATGCGAGAGTTGTCGTTTGAGCTCCATGGACCGAGCCAAACAAGCTGACACGAACCTCGCCCTAAGACATTCCCATACAAGGGCAGAAACTTTAAGGTGATGAACTTCCATTAGAATGTCACGGGACAAAGTGGCGAAGATCCATGAACGAATGGTTTGGTCGATTTTCAACCAATGATGGTACTCCGGATTAGGAGTTTCCCGTCCAAAAGATATATGCATTATCATGACTTGTTTATAATCATCAACTCATCAAGTATGGTAGGTAATTAGGTGTGTAGTACTTCCTCTCTCCTAAATTGAGTTGCAATTTGTCGATTTTAAGATTGATTGATGATAAAACTAAACATAGTAAGAAATAGTTAAGTTAGTTTTGATAATTAAAATTTACATATTTTGAAACTACATTAAAGGGATAAAGATTTTATAAACAAGTAGCTAGATAAAGTCAAACGTACAGTGTTAAGAAAAAGTTGATTTTGCAAATCGGGATGGGGAGTATAAAATACTTCATATACTGTATATATTTTTGTAAGCCATTTTTTTTCTTACATTTGGAAGTTTCGTATAGCCGCTAGGAGCCAAGTGAGCCTGCATTTGAAGAATGTAAAGTATGAGAGATTTATAAAAGGGTACGTAGTGTGGTGAATTGAAATAACCAATTCAATTAATGGCTAAGGAGATGATGAATCGAAGAGGTCGAAGCCAGCTCAATTAATTACTTGGACGTAGTCGGAGTAGACTCCCATTCCAGATACAGAACCTACACCATCACACCAAGCCTCATTCTGCATGCATTATAATTTATATATGTACGTCCGTTAATATGCATATATACATAGGCATCAAGCGATATATACACAAAGTCCTCAAGCAATATATGCATATGTACATACTTTAGAGAAAAGTATCAATGGTTCACATGGCTACAAGGACGATCTATGTATGAGCTATAATGTGTTGAAGCTCAAGATAGCTTAATTTTTTTCAATTATCTAATATAAAATTTTTCATTTTTCATATTCAGTTCACTCTACTTATGTAGTTATGTTTAAGTTTAATATAATTGTTTTTCAGCCCATGACATCACAAATTCCTGGATCCACCCCTGTATGTCTAGATTGAGGGCTCTCTAATTTTTTTCAGTCAAACAGATTGGTGTATGGTATAATGGTATTCAGTCAAATATGTACCACATCAACAAGATCAATTAACTTAGCTAGTGTACGTGTGTAGACTCCTCATATACTAACGACGCAATACCGAAAACTACAATTCGACTGAAAATAAAGAATACACCCCTAAATGTAAATGTGCACAATTATATGTTACTTTAAATTAAGATTTTTCCCAATTTAAATTTATAAGCTACTTTTCTTCTTATTATAATCAAATATTATGGTAGACTTTAGTCCACTGCGTACTAAGAAAACAATACTACGTACTTCAAATTACACCATGTAGATTGGAATTGCTTACACTGCAAGCAGGAACTGAAGCAACACCGGCATTAGGACCACCTACTGATATGAAATTCTTCACCTGTTTCAATATATAAATACCCAACCAACTAATTACTTACTATTTTACACTTAAATTAAGGGATATTTACTAGGATATGACTAAAACTCAATGAGTTTTCCAATATATGACCTAACTAGCTAGTTTTTATACCTTTGTATGACCAAAAATCCAAAAACAAATAGAAAATTCGTTTATATTTAAATGTCGAATGACAAAAATACCCTTATTTAAAATATGTGCATTTTGCACTAATTTCATCCAATTAAAATTACTGCATTTTATATTGCCGTTAATGCACAAAATTAATGCATGACTTTACTGCACATCCGGTAATAATCACTGCACTTCCCCTAAAAGTAATGCATTTTATATTTCGTCCAATTCTTTTCTCATTCGCTTTAGGAATTTATTTGTAACTCTTATTTATTATTTTGTTTAGATTTAATAATTTTATTATTTTTTGTCTAATTAAGTATATTGCATTTCATGGTGGCATTACTGCTATGTGTTAATGCAATGGTCATAATCATTGCACTTCCCGTCAACGCATTCATTAACTGCCCATATACAATACTATTTATTGTCATGTTCATTGTCTATATTCAACACAATCTATTGCAATGTTCATTGTCAATGTTCAATGCTCAAATTCAATGTCCAAAAACCTAATTTCAAAAAATACAAAAAGAGAAAAACAAAAATAAAATAAGTCTTAGCTATTAAAAGCAGTGCACTCCGTAATAAGTTGGATGATATACAATGCTAGAAGAGTAGAAGTCAAAGTATTTCACCCCCGGCCTTTCAAATCCCAAAGAGACATAAAACCTCATCCGCAAAAAATTTGGGGAAAAGGTGCAAATAGGCCCATGTACTAACCAAAAAAGGTCAAATAAGCCCTTATTTAGGAGGCTTTGTCCGGCCGTCGTCATTTGGGTTGGTTCCCGGTGGAATTTTTTGATGAAATTTTTTGAGCATCTTATTCATCAAGTCTAGTTTACTCATACCAAATTTCAGCTAAAACGTCAATTGGGAAGGCATTAAAATGAATTCTTGAAGATAACTATGCTTCTAACTGCGCAGTTATTTTCAAGAATTTATTTGAATGCCTTCCCGATTGAAGTTTTAGCTGAAATTTGGTATGAGTAAACTAGACTTGATGAGTAATATGCTAACAAAATTTCATCAAAAAATTCCACCGGGAACCACCCCAAATGGCGATGACCGGACAGAGCCTCCTAAATAAAGGGCTTATTTGACCTTTTTTGGTTAGTACATGGGCCTATTTGCACCTTTTCCCAAAAATTTGCGTGAAACTAGACATCTGCCGACAGCCGCACGGACGACCACCAAATTTCTCCACCGCTCTATCTAACCTCTTCCGCCGCTTCCTCGCCATTAGAACTCTGGACGGGGACCCACTCAACGATGATCCTTACTCTATCTCACCTTCTCCATCTGCACGAAGAACATTACTGAGAAAGAGACGAAGGTTACGACCTGAGGCGGTGGCAGGCGGCTGTGCGGCGGACCGTGGGGCGGAGGCGGACGGCGGGTCATGGAACGGGGACGGACAGGGCATGGGACTGCAAGCAAGTGGATTATGGATGTGCGAGAATGGAGGATAGGGTTGGAGAAAAGATTAGGAGTTTAGGGTTTTATAGATATAACTAAAGGGTATATATGTCCACCTAAATAATTTATTTATTTATTTATTACGAATTTTAATTAAATATTATGAATTTTAATATTATTTTGGTAAAAAAAAACTAGTTAGGTCATAGATTGAGAAAGTGAATAAGTTCCAGTCACATCTAAGATAATTATCTCTTAAATTAAATATATATGTGTAAATAAAATTTAACACCTTGAAGACATGAAGTCCATTTAAAATAGAAGAATTTCTTGGTTTTGTAGTATGTACGTCCATTGTTTGTTTTAATTAAGTTATTCCCTTGCACATCACTATATCATACCCTATCATTTATAAATTTGTCTACGCTAAGGATTTTTACTGGAAATTGTCAAAACTAACCAGAAAAGTCTATATTCATATGATATGTCACTAATTAAATACACACGTGCATATACATATATTTTAAAAAGAGAATAATTATTACTTGTGGTACATTGTCACACAACTCAATCACACCTCGTCCTATTATATTTCCCTGCAAATTAGAAAGGAAAAGTGAAATCCTAATTATTGGATTGAAGTAAAGTTGAATATAAATCAATAAGACTTGTTTTTGAAGATTAAGAACACTGGAGAGACCTGGGAGAGACCAACTAGATTGTAACCTTGTTGAAGCTCTGGCATTCCCCTAATCTGTGCATTTCTCAATGGAGAAATTAACAATTTCAGGACAAATAAAAATAATAATGTTAATAAAAATTTCAAAATGCGAATAAAAAAGTGATAAACTTGTGAACGCAACAATTATATATCACCTTGGCACAAACAGTTTCAACCTGCGGGAAAGCGCGCAAGTGAAAAGATTATTTTCTTATGAAGATTATTTTTAAGCATTCAAACTTAAGAACGCTACAAATCCAATAAATAAATAGAAGAACAATGTTGTTTTGCTCTTACTTGTTGTTCTATGGGTATGCTCCACGAATCATATGCACCACCTCCAATTTCACTTCAAAACGATTTAATTCGAAGTTATTATCAATATTTTTCTTAGTAATCCTTCATATTTTTAATGCTAATAATAAAGATATAGTCCTTAGTACATAGGGGTGCTCAGGTGCCCAATAACAAAGTTTTCAGTTTTTGCCGCCACAAGATATTCACTATATTATTGACTTGAGGCTTGAGAGTTTGCTGCATTTATGACTTGTTTCCTTGGACAACTGGTTTAGTGTTGATTTGGTCCTTTGGTTAATCTATTTAATTGGAGTCGCGTTCTTGGACATATGCCAAGTGTCCATATGATGCGATGTTTAGCATATTATTTAGAGTGAATTGAGTTAGACTAAATTGTTTTGTATTAATTGTATGAGTCCATTAATTTAACATTTCATTCTTTTCTAATAGTAAAGTTTAGACTTCAACTAATGAATCATTCACAAATTTAGTTGAATTTTTTTTAGGAAACGGTTCAGCTCAGCTGGTCGCCGACTCACTCTCCCTTATGGGAGGTCTCGGGTTCGAAACTCAATGGAGTGAGTTTCAGCCCAGTTTACTTTAGGCCTCCCATACCCCCTCCCCAGACGCCCCCTGGAGTTTAAAAAAAAGTTGACTTTTTTACATTGGTAAACTGCATAATATGATGTGCATAGGGGTGGAGGTATGCCCATAGTCAAGGGGGGCATCTCCCTTCCGTGGTTTTTTTGTTTTTTGTAATAGTATACCCCTCCGTCTCATTAGAAGGCTCCCACTTTCCTTTTTTGGACATCCCATTAGAATGTTCTCATTTCCATTTTAGGAAACAATTATCAATCTTAAGTGACAAATTAATCATTAAATATTAAAAATAATACATGTAACACCGCCCCCAAGTATTTGTACTTTATCAAATTGTGTAATAAACCCTGAGGAATGAATAAACGCATTTTACGTGATTGTAAACTTTTATCATTTCTTTTACGTGAATAGTAAAAATTCACGTGGGGCCCACACCGGAAGTGGGGGGCCGCCCGATATTATCGGGACCACATATTATATTCATTTGGATCAAGATAATATGTGTATAATGGTGGACATCCTTGTTGGGCCATAGAAGTTATGTGAGTAACCTTTTGGGCAAATAAAGCCCATTTACCGGTACCGTCGTACTGACAGATAAAAGCCATAATAAATTATGGAGACCATCAAATTAAAAGCTGGGGGATGTACATTCATTCTTGTAGCCGATAATAATTGGAAGAATGATAGATATTTCATTTTACCCGATAAAATGAAATACAATTAAAACAGTCCGAAAAATACAACTTTCGGGACCGAATGTACACTTGGGGACACAAAGGGATGACCACCCATCTAAGTGGGGGCCATCCCCACGTTTTTAGTCTACAAATGACAAGGGGGAGCCGCACACTAATGTGGAGGAGCAAGCAGGAAATTGATTGGAAGGCCAATCAATGAAGCAAGTGGACCTCACCCTTGATATTATTATGAGAAATGCCAAAAAGGCATTCCCCATCACCCCAAATTCATACAACTCGGCCATACCACTTCCATAGCTGAGAGAAGCTCTTCAAACTCCATCCTTACCATCCTCACACGCACAAGGGGAAGAAGAAGAAAGGAAAAGAGAAGGGAAAAGAGGAGTTTTAGGTGGGAAAACTTGTGGTTAAAGAGGTAATGACTTCATTAATCCCATTTCTTCTCTTTAATCATATCTCATACTCCTAGGAGAGTTCTACCCATGTAAAAGTGTAGAATGGGAGTTGGAGGGTTGGTTTATACCCAAAACGGATTGAGTGAACAAAGTTGACCGTTTCACCGGAAAATAATCTTTTTGAGGTTATTTGTGTTGATATGGGTTTTATGATGATAAAACCTTGTTGTTAACTTGTATAAGGTACTTCAAGAACTTTCACGGAGTTGAAAGGGTCGCCGGAGTTGTCGCCGGAGTTGTTGAAGTTCGCCGGAGTTTCACCGGGGCCAAATCGGAGAGGCTAGAACTTCATAAGCTTCATTAAGGTGAGAAGACGGCTATATGCTTTATAACTTTTGATTGAGGCATGAGATTACCTAAAGTAATCAAGGAAATGTTTTACGGAATGATTAAAGTTGATCAAGTATGGGCTTATGCCATGATTATATATAAAACAAAGTTGAAAGGCATGTTTTGCATGTTTGGTGATTAAAAATGTGATAACTTATTATGTACAATGATCCAGGAGTCAAAAATGGTATTTTTGGATCAAGGACTTCAAGTAGAATATACATGTAAAATTTCACGTTAATCGGACCCCGTTTGGGCGGTCAAACGGGCGTTGACCGCCAAGTCAACTACAATACCCGACCGGGTATCTGCTGAAAAATTGGCTCCAAGGGCTGCTGCCTCCTATACTCGATCGAGTATGGATAGGTACTCGATCGAGTATGCCTTGGAAATTAGCCTTACGGGCTCCTGTCTCCTGTACTCGACCGAGTATTGGTGGGTACTCGATCGAGTATTGAGTTATACTCAAAACGGGTAGTTTTTGAGTGGGTTAACGTGGACCGATCAGGCGGGACCCGTCCACGTTGGTTACTAAGGATTGTTATATGACTATAGGACCAGGTATTGTCCATAGTTGAGTAAACGAAAGGTTAGCCATATCCAGGTTAGGGTTTGGTCAGAAATAAGGTTGAGGTTGAGTATCCTCGGGATGGTAAATGATCCTAAAACTCGGTTGAGGTTGAGTATCCTCGGGACGGTAAATGATCCTAAAACTCGGTTGAGGTTGAGTATCCTCGGGACGGTAAATGATCCTAAAACTCGGTGAGGTTGAGTATCCTCAGGATGGTAAACAATCCTAAAACTCGGTGAGGTTGAGCATCCTCAGGACGGTAAAACAATCCTAAAACTCGGTTGAGGTTGAGTATCCTCGGGACGGTAAATGATCCTAAAACTCGGTTGAGGTTGAGTATCCTCGGGACGGTAGATGATCCCAAAACTCGGTTGGGGTTGAGTATCCCCGGGAGGGTTAACACTCCTGAAACTCGGTAGGATATTATGAAGGTAGAATGTAGCTCTTAAGCTAGGCATTCAGGAATGAAAGGGGAAAGGTTGGGTAAGTACCTTGTCTCTAAAAGACTCTTTTGTGAGAAAATGACCTACGAGTCAAGTATTTTACAAGTATATACAGTATGTATTATCTTGGGGATGGGGTAACAATGGTTACACCTATAAGTATATGTACCACCCTATTTTTGGGTCTCGTGTTTGAAACATTAGTTATTCCTCATATAGCCTGCTTGTCACTAGTACTTCTATGGAGTACTGACCCCTTCGGGGGCCCTCACATTTTTCAGGTTAAGGCTAGAGTCCTACTACCTGCACCTTTGCCTAGGGTGACTGATCAAGGAGGAAGACGTGGTTCGTGCTTCCATTCATCTTCAAAACTGATAAACTGCTCATGGATATTTTTAACAATGTTTTCTATTAAAACATTTGGGGGCCTGCGTGCCCGTATTTGCCACGTGTGGCTCAGCATCAAACATATCTTATTTTCCGCATTTGTTTGACTAATATATATTGATGTTGATTGTATGGGTTTACTAATCGGCTTGGCAGTAGAACTCAACGGACGCCTTGTATGATTTGATAAGGATGAACTACGTTGTTCTTATTGGGTTGTACGGCGGTTGTCTACGTGGCACGGACGCGGTCCGGGGCGTGACAATACATGTATAACATCACAGTTATCAATACTAACTACTTTATAATATATACTTATTAAAATTATTCTCAATATACTATCCTCCGTCTCTTTTTAATCGCAACATGTTGAATTTTACACTATTCACATGTTCTACTTTGACTACATTTATATTATTATTTTATGAAAATTATTTTTTTTAAAAATACTGTTTAATTCGTCTCATTACAAATTTTCAAAATCTATTTTTTAAATATTTTTTACTAATAGAAATTAAGATATAATTACGGTCAAAGACGTGCATTGGCAAGTGTGAAGTGTTGACTGTTGCAACTAAAAAAGAACGGAGGAAGTATACATTATAATATATACTTATTAAAATTATTAATATAGTATTATTTATCATTTTAGCCCCCACCCCCCCCCCCCCCCCACCCCCCATACTAGATAGTACTCCATATTATGCAAGATTAGGGAAGAAAATCATGCGCTTGCTGTGCGGCTAGTTTTAGACCAAGCGATTAGCCGATTAGATGAACCCCATTTAAAACATAAGCCCTGACCCCTGAATAATACTACGTATTTATTAAATATTACGGAGTACCTAATATTTTTTGCTTAAATACTAAAAATCCAAATGTGGCTACTATCCAACTTCTAGAAGTTTGGAAATTGCAAAGATACACAATAACATTAACTCAACATAGGTACAACTAAACTACATCTAGTATTCTAGACTTCTAGTTACACCAATTAGTGAACTAATTGATTAATTCATTATCATATAAATTGGTATATATAAGTAATAACATGACATAAAACTTTAGTAAATAATTAATTATACGACATTAAATTATTCTTATGATATACCAATTAACTTTAGTAAGACATTGTACTTTTCATTTTGATATTATATTTGAATATCATACTAGGTACATTTGAGCCCGCGGCCGTTTGTTAGCGCAACTATATTCAGTTTATCGACCTTATCATTGACCGAGTAACTTTTTTTCGCAAATACTTAACTTTTAATTTCATACACAAAAAACTGTAATACTCAAAACAAGTAAGGTTGTAGTTACTTTTCAGAATGAATTAATTGAAGTTATGTAGATGATTATTTTAGTTAACTTTACATATAAATTTTTCATTATTTTTTTTAATAAACTATATTTTAAATATAACTTTTCATAATTCATCCGATCAACTCAGGCATTTCATCAAAAGTTTCATAACTTACAACATATTCACCTGATTCGGCCAATTTTAGTGCTGCTAAATGGGCTATCATTTTACTATGTTATTTATATATTCTATATTTTAATACACATATTATATTAAGGTCCCACATATAATACGTAGTATATACATTAATATATAAACATTTGTCAATGTAGTAAAAAAGGAAATGGTTGCAATTAACTTTTTAATGAATTAAGGGGACTTAGACTTACACACATGGTCCTTTAATTCCAGCCAACATGCTTAGCGACGTCTGATAAAAAGTGCTTGCTTCATCATTGCATTGCATTCCAAGGCCTGTCGTCATCATATATATTAGGGGTGAACAAAAAACCGAAAAACCGAAAAACCGAAATCGACCGAAAAACCGCCCGAAACCGAACCGATAAAACCGATTAAATTTGACCGAAATGAAAACCGACAAATTCGGTCGGTGAACCGAACCGACATAAGTTTAAACGGGTCGGTCGTCGGTTTTACATATTAGGCATCGGTTATAAACCGACCGACCGAGGAAGTAATATGCTTAGCTATTCTTCCCTTGCTGCTCTTCGCTTGCTGTTCTTCGCACAATTATTGTTCCTAGCATGAAACGGTACTGCCCAAGCTATTCATGGGTTTTTTTCGCACAATTCTTCGCACAATGCGTCTCATCGGTTTTTTTATTGGGGGGTGGGGGGGAGGTGGGGGAGAAGCATGCATATATATACAATTTAATTTGAAGGAAGCTAAGGTTTGGCATTTTTACCATGTAGGATGATGAAAGGTGTAGCACATGAAAGTGGAATGGAAGACAACATAGCAAGTAGAAGCATAATTTGAACCGAGAATGAACATGGTGAGAAATAATAACATGCCATGCTCAGCTCCTTTAATTTTTCTATTCCTAGCCTTTAGTTGGAGTGATAGATGTACGTGGGGCAGATTAGATAGCTTTTATAGCCGACTTTACTTAAATATAATTTGCATCAACTAACTGATTTGATTAGATGAAGTTTTTTTTTCTCATTCGAGCATTAAGTACTCATCTGCAGTTATTTATCTTATTCATGTAAACGGATTTGGGTTTCTAATAAATTCATTCATTCATAACGTAAATGAGAATTTTATAGTAACAGCTGATATAGTTTCTCCAGTTATATAACATACTCGGTATTAATGACTACATCAATTTACATCATAGTTCATAAATTAATGGGATGTATCTTTGGCATAATTAATAACATGGTAATAAACAATGGAAAATATCTAACAACATTATAATTGTAAATGAGGGTTGATACCCTTGATTTGTGTCAATACATCTTTACATAAAAATTTGTACGTTATGCTTAGAAAATGATACCTAACTTTTCAAGTGACTTTAATAACCCTAATGGTGTAAACTTCCGTTAAGTTACTTGATTCATAAAGACATTTAAATACTACTTACTATGATAAATTCGTCAACTTTAATTAAAGTAATATGGGAACTATTTATATTGAAATAAGTAATAATCAAATTTCCTATATTAATATGCACTTTTTAAACCTTTTCAAGTTTGAACTATTTATATTGAAATAAGTAATAATCAAATTTCGTATATTAATATGCACTTTTTAAACCTTTTCAAGTTTGACTTTTTTATAGTTAATTGCATCGATTGTTTTTACAATAATGAAGCAAACACTATAAAAAATTTATGGAATTGACACGGATTTGGCATGGATTTATCAATTTTTTCGTGTCAAAACTGTTTTTGGCATAGATTTGGCATATCCATGTCAAAATCCGTGCCAATTTTGGAAAACTCATACCAAAAATCTCTGTCAATCTCGTATTTTTTTGGTAGTGAAATACTTCGTATGTATTTACATGAAAATATAAACATTTTTACTATAATGAATATTTCTCCTCAAATATATCTAAAAAAATTGTTTGTACCGATCAAGTTGAACTTCTCCTCTTGTATACGCCTCTACTCATACTTAACAGAAATTAAGGTGATCAACAATACTATTTTTAGAGTTTTAATGTGTTAAGTTTTTTTACTTTGTAATTCATCAAACAACACTACTGGCTCATTATCCACGTAAATAAGGGTGGCCGAAAAAATATCATTAAACATTGGACAAGTTTTGACAAAAAACACATTGGGCATATATGAGTTATCGCGCCTTGCGCGATCAATCGCTAGTTACAAAATAAATTCTATAGATCGATCAATATGAAGGCAACAATTTAATCTTCCAATTTATGTTTCACATAGATATAGAAATTGAAAATTATATGATGGAGAATTGTCTAGAGGAGATAGATAAAGGTATAAGAAATAATGTGAACCCCAAATTCTTTAATTCTTTACCAAAAGAAGAAGAAATCATTTTGAAACAGATAAGAAACAAAATTATTAGAAGATAATTGTGGGACAAAGGGAGTACGAAGTATGTATAATACTCCAAATTTATGTTGTTGTGAAGGAGCAACATATTTTTAAGGTGAGAACTACTTCCTCCGTTCTTTAAAAGTTGCAACATTGGAATGTTTGCATTATTTATACATCTTACTTTTACTATGATTTTTTAATAATATATATAATCAAGCTACTATGTATAAAATATTATCAAATTTCTATTAATGTAGATTTCCAAAATATTAACTTTTTTAATGTTAACTATATGTAATTAAATATAATTACAGTCAAATTTGTGTGTTGACAAACGTGAAAGTCAAGTTGTTGAAAGTTGCATCTCCATTGATGATCTCCAAAAATTAATTACTTTTTGTGATTTTTACCTTTTAGTTATTGCGACATAATTAATTTTTTAATAATCTCAAAATTTATTTATGTCTCTCAACAATTGTCTTTTAATAAACTGCATTTTCTTGATCTGATAATCTTGCACTAACTAATTACATATACATTTTGAATCATCTTAAAATGACCTGAATTTATATCTTGATCTTGGATTATTGTAGCAAATAACTTTACAAAATAATCTATGGGAGATTGTTGAAAATTAAAAAGGATTTTCAACAATCTCACATAAATTTAAGGGAAAACTATCAAATAAGCCCCTTAACTTTTCAAAAAAATCAATTAGGCCCCCCTACTAAAAATCTGATCAATCAAACCCTTGAACTATTAAAAAAGAGGCAAATCCTCCTTTTAACAGGTACCTTCCCAGTTCCCGGTCAGATTGGGTATGTGGCGCCTGAGGTGGCCTTTTTTCCTTTTCCTTTTCTTTCCTTTCCCTTTCTTCCTCCATGCGCCTCTCTTCTTCTCGATCTGTGCCTAGCAGGCTAGCACCTGCAACTTAATGTCTCCTTTCTTTCTTTCATGTTTCTCTTCTCCTTCCTAGTTCTCTGCTCGTTTTTCCCGGCCTCACTTCACCCCTTCGCTGGTGTATGCTTCCTCCGACCTCCGCCTATTCTCTTCTTTGCCGCCGACTATGGCCTATAGCCGGATCGGAGCTACGAAGTAGTCGGAAGGACTCATCCACTACTAGGATCTATGGTTTCTGGCACCGACGGACAAGCCTTCCGCAACCTATAAAAGAGGAGTCTTCAGAGTTCAGCCGGAGTTGCTGGACGAGAAGGAACGACCTGGTCGTCACTACTTCCCGGCGAGATTCTCTAAATGGCTCCCGGAGCTATAAAACGGCGGATGGAGTGAAGAATAGAAGACTCTTCTTAAATCGGGAGTGGAAATGTGGAACAAAGAAGATGGAAGAAGGGGGTTTACCGGAAGTCTGGAACAGGGGGAAGGGGAAGGATGAAGGTGAAGGAGAAAAGTAAAAAGAAAGAAAAAAGAAAAGGAATAATGAAAGAAAAAAGAAAAAATAGAAAAAAATTAAAACTGCTTTGTACAAAATAACCGGGCAACTTGTTGATTGCCGGTCAAAGTGGGGATTTGCCTTTTTTTATTGAGTTTGAGGGTTTAATTGATTGGATTTTTAGTAGGGGGGTTTAATTGACTTTTTTAAAAAGTTGGGGGGCTTATTTGATAGTTTTCCCTAAATTTAATCTATGTGAGATTTCATTTCTAATTAGTGAAAAAATAAAAAGTTCATATTTTTGAAAATTTTAAATTTCTAAAATAATAATAAATACAATATAGTGAAAGTAGACCATGTGAATGATTATTTTTCTTTTAACTTATTTCTCTGCACCAATTCTTTATATTATCTTATACTATGTACTATATAATAATAATTGTAGTAATGCCAAAAAAATTAGATCTCTCCTAGGGCAGCGCCGCTAGGTAGCTTTTCCGAATTCGGTTTCAACAATCGAAGATCGGCTGTACGGGTTTGTCTTCTTCTTGCTTCGTCTTCAAGCATTGAAGGTTTCAGGTGACTGGCTGCGGCTCTGCAGTTCGGTCGGGGTGAAAGTGTGGTGCTAATTTTTGTTTCGGTTTAGGTTGGGGCAGAGCGGCGAGGTGATTTTGGATCGTGATTTTGCTCGGGTTATGGACTCTTCGCTTGTGCCACTGGTTTCGATTGGGAAGGTAAGAATGGATTTCGGGTTCATTCGGGCTATAATCATAAGGATTAAGTAGATGTCAGTGGAAATTGTGGTGGTGGGTTTGCAAGGAATGTTTCAAGATGAAGGGTTGATGATCTGTCCCCCTCCTGAGCCACCGCCGAGGATGATGTTTGAAGCATGGATTCGGTTTCCTTATCAGTTTATTTTATTTATTTTCGTTTTACTCCACAGTCAGACTATCATGTTTTGTTTTTACTCCTTTTTCTGCTGTAAAACTCTTGCATTAGGTTTGGGGTTAGAAAGGTCTGCGGTAAGCATCGTTGCTTAAATTTGCCCAAATTAGGTCTAGCGTGTTATATTGATTTGTATAGGGTGATTAACCCATAGTCTCGGCCAAAGGCGGATGGTTACATGTGGTTCTTTCATGTTCTTGTACCCCTGATGAATGTTATTTTAATAATATAAGCGCCTTATGATAATAAACAAATTAAAAATGTAGTATCAAATTTAGTATATACTACCTCCGTCCCATAAATAACTCCTCTTTTGAATTGGCACACATATTAAGATAGTGGGAAATGTGTGGTGGAGAGTTGTACAGAGGAGAGAGAAATGTGTAAGAATGGTTATGAACCACAAATTCTTTGCCAAAAAGGGAAAGAGGAGATAAATTTGGGACGGACCGAAAAGGAAAGAATGAAGATAATTTTGGGACGGAGGGAGTATATAATATCAAAATTTATAGGGAAAAGTACAGAAAAGGTACATGTGGTTTAGGCCGTTTTCAAATAGGGGCACGTGTTTTTTTTTAACAAAGTGGAACATGTGCTTCAATTCCGTTATCATAGCAGGGGCATGGCATCTAACACCGTTAGAAAATTTAACCCCGATTTTCAAAAGTCTCTGAAACATTAAAAGAAAAATACTGGGAGGTGCGTCTCGTCAAGACGACGAACAAACTATCGTTCTCTTTGAATTTTTCGGCTCTATATTTGAATTATTTTTTTCAAAATGAATTTGTTAATATCACTTTTCCGGTGGATTGTTTGGCGACATGGTGGCTGGAAACAAAAAAAAAAGGAAAGATAGTTTGTTAGTCTCCTTGACGAAGCGCATCTTCCAGTATTTTTCTTTTAAGGTTTCAGAGACTTTTGAAAATCGGGGTTAGATTTTTGATGAGTGTTTTCTCGCACTTAAAATGGTTGTAGAAAAGTGGTGTAAAGTACGAGTATCGTCTCCACAGGGACGGACAAAAGGGAAATAAAGATTAACTAAACTTAGCGATAAAAAAGAAATAAATAAAATAAAAGTGCAATTGTGCGAGATTGGTTGATTGATTAAACTAAAACTAATGCTAATGAACGAATAAAAAGATTTGGTTTTCCTTAATTAACGACGAAGGGAACAGGAATT